CTGTCTTCTTGTAGGTTATAGTTAGTCCTTTCATCTCGCTCTCCCTCGCTACCTTCTGTAGGAGGTTTTGTAGTTTCTTTTCCGTGTCTGCTATTGGTACTATGTTATCTGCGTATCTTATGTTGGTAAGATTGTGGCCGCCAATGCTGGATCCCTCTAGGAATTTCAGTTCTCTCAGAATTGCCTCGCTGTATAAATTGTACAGGTCCGGTGAGAAGACGCATCCTTGCCTTACCCCTCTTTCTATTTTTGTATATTCGTTGGACTCAATGCGCATGCCGTTTGCTGTCAGTATGTTCTTGATTGTTCTAATATCTTTCCCGAATATATCAAGTTTGCTGATCAGTTCCAGTAGATCACTATACATACACACATATAAAAATCTACATATTTAAAGAAAAAAATAAAGAAAATATATTTACGATTGAAAGAAAAATTGAATAAAACTTGTATAAAAGAGGGATTACTACCCAAGTCGAAGGTTAACCGTTGTCTTCCCAACATCATTCTAAAAGAAATGCACAAATATGTCTTGGGAATATCTGATGTACAGCCAGTTAGACAAGCAGAAAAGCAAATTGTCAGCAGTCAATATACCACATAACACCCTTGAGCGCTTAGCCTTGGAGCGGGTAGAATGGAGATCAACGTGTTTTAGTGGACTCAGCAGTTTTCAATCTGCTTGTCTGAATCATCTTCAAGAAGCGAGAGCAAGATCTAAAAGGTCAGCCAATCTAACAGTGATCCCATCTCGCAGTTCTCACTCTTGCTCCATGTGAGGCCTCCTTTGTAAGTCACTAGCGGGTCTTAAATGCCACTTAAGATTATCGCACAAAATTTCATAACTGAATCAATAAGCTGTCAGATCCTCATATGTCGAAACCGACGGGAGAGCCCTATATATATATATATATATATATATATAATTATTTAAAAAAAAAACATGAAACTGCCACCCAGTCGTTAAGGTTTAAAATTGGAATTAAACTTAAATACTGCTGACCAGTTTCGAAACATAGTAATTTCTTTGTCGCGATAGAATCATATTTTTTGAAAAAAATAATTATAACCTAGGCTCTACTTGTGTATCGAGTACTGTTTTTAAAAAATAAAAACAAAATTGAAAAAGATGTGTGTGTATATATATATATATATATATATATATATATATATATATATAGTTAAATTCCCATTATTTTATGGATTAAGACAGATTGGTATCAAATGACAATTGAATTTTGAAATGATTTCATTTCCGACTTTTCAAGGCAAAATGAATGAAACGTTTTTTGTTATTATAGTTACATTAAAAATCTATCTTTTAAATTTGGATTTTAATGTAACTATAACAGCAAAAAAAATTTGATTTCATTTTTGCCTTGAAAAATCGGAAGACGAAACGCGTCGGAAAAAATGGTAGGATTTTTTCCAATTTCATTTGATACCATATATATATATATATATATATATATATATATATATATATATTGATAATATTAATGGCCATATATATATATATATATATATATATATATATATATATATATATAACATTAATGGCCAATATATATATATATATATATATATATATATATATATATATATATATATATATATATATTTAAATTCCCAGGAGGATAGAATCCAGATAGAACTCAATGTCCAGAGTCAGAATATAATATAAAGGCTCAAACACTAATATTCCATGGTTATAATCTATTACATTATATTAGTGTTTGAGCCTTATATATATATATATATATATATATATAGTGGGGGAATAAATATTCGTACACTTGAAAAATTGTATTTTTATGAATGTAAAAGACTTAAATAAAACAAATCTCGGCACATTTTATGTATAAAGACATACTATTAAAAATAATAATAAACTTAATTAATTCTTATTCTAACAGAAATTAATGCATTCTTTTAATTCTACCTGGTGAAAAAAGTATTCGTACAAATCAATTATTAGAATAAATTAATCAATTAATTATGAAAAAAGTATATTCTAGAATGTTATCAGTAATTATAGTTAACGCTATTAGCCATTATCAGAGCATTCTGCATTCTGCAATTAGCCATTATCAGAGCATTCTGCAATTTCCAGTCTTACGAGAAGGTTCTAATAATGCCTAAAGGTAAAGAATTGACTATTTCACAAAAACAACACATTTTGTCTCTTTTGAAAGATGGGAACAGTTACAGAACGATTTCTAACAACCTGAATATTCCTTTTACTACAATTGCTTCGTTCATTGCAAGGTTTAAAACTCGTAACAGTGTCGAAAACCAAAGACGAACAGGTGCTCCGAGGAAGATTTCTCTAAGATCAGCAAGGATATTAGGACGCCAGATCCAACAAAATCCACAGGTTACCCGAGAAGAGATGCAGGAACATCTGCGTGCATTAGGGATTAAAGTAACCAAGCGTACAATATGTAATGAACTACACAAAAACAGTCTGAAATCACGCATCCCAAGGAAGACTCCACTCTTCTTGAAACGACAAAGAGATGCTAGGCGAAAATTCGTTAGAGAGCATAAGGATAAAGAATATTCGTTTTGGGAAAAGGTACTATGGAGAGATGAAAATTAAAATAGAGTTGTTTGGTCATAATTATCGAAATCATCTGTGGAGGAAGGACGGTGAAGCCTACTTACCAAAAAAACACGTTGGCAACTGTAAAGTTTGGTAGTGGCAGTATCATGATCTGGGGCTGTTTTTCTGCAAAAGGTGTTGGAAGAATATCAATAATAGGATGGCAAGATGAATGCCGAAAGCTACCAGAAAATCCTACAAGACAATTTAATGCGTTCTGTTGAGAGACTTCGTCTACCTCCTGATTGGGTTTTCCAACTGGATAATGATCCTAAGCATACCGCTAGATCTACAAGGAAATGGTTAGCTGAAAGTAACGTTGATGTCTTGCAATGGCCAAGTCAGTCTCCAGACTTGAACCCAATCCTGAATTTATGGCGATATTTGAAAATTCAAATTGGGAAAAGTGCACCAACAAATATCAAGAATTTGAAGACAATATGCAAAGAAGAATGGGACAAAATACCACTCAATGTGTGCAAATCATTAGTTGAGACGTACAGGAATAGACGGGTAGCTGTTGAACTCAATAAAGAATATTCTACAAAGTATTAAATTAAGTTAATATGCTTTTTGTGTTTTGTACGAATACTTTTTTCATCAGTTAAAATGAAAAAAAATGCATTAATTTCTGTTAGAATAAGAATTAATTAAGTTTATTGCTATTTTTCAATAAAACGTATCTTTACATAGAATGTATCAAAATTTGTTTTAGTTGAGGCTTTTACATTTATAAAAAATACAATTTTTCAAGTGTACGAATATTTATTTCCCCCACTGTATATATATATATATATATATATATATATATATATATATATATATATATATATATAAAGAACAATAAGATATATAATCCGGTGTTCTTATTGATATTTTTATTTTTATATTTATTTGAAGTTTTTAGTTTCTCATTTTGAAACATGGTAATTCTTGAGTAGCAGCATCATTTAATAACTGTGTTTGTCCCAATTTTGTTTAGTTTGCACGACCTTTACGCTCTGCCAATGCCTCATGAATTACGGAATATCCCGTTTTGATCCCGTGAAGAGACAAAAGACATTACAGCGACACTACTCGCTTTCAATGAAAAAAGAAAGAAAGAAAGAAGTGTTTAATGTCTGCTGCTAATATACCCTATGTAATGGACTATCCCGTTTTGATCACGTAAGAAGACAAAAGACCTGCCAAATATGCTACTAGTTTAAAGTGAGAAAATCAAAGAAAGAATGGAATATAGGTGTTTTACGTCAGTTTCAGTCAGAAAAAAAAAACTTAAATTACAAATCTTTTCATTTGTACGCCCTTACTTCTTTAAATAATGCCCAGCATTCATATTTATTATTGTTATTGCAATATATTGTCTAATTATTAAAAATCATTCAGCTCAAATATTTAACGATACAATAGGGGAACTTCTACGGATATTTTATTTTCAGAGATAAAACTCGCCATGAGCTTATTTAATCCTTAACTGAAGAATTAAGATTACGGTGGAGTAATGGAAAGCGGCTCAGATTGTGAAATCAGAGAGCCGAGTTCGAATTACAGTCGAATCCTTTGCATTCACTTACGTGCTAATACCATTGGTAAAGGTATGAATCATTTTCTTCCCCCTCCAGCTATGGGTAAATAGCAGGACAGACTGGGTTCTGTAGTCTACCGTAGAAAGAAATGGCAACCTACTACGGGAAAAAATCTTCCTCGCCAGTCATGTATCAAAAGATACACGATTGCCTAAGCTAAGCGTGTATCACACATGGCACATAACTAAACTGACAGAAATTTCAAATAGGAAAACCGTGAAATTTTAATTGGTTAAAACTAGTATATAATAAAAACAACAAAGAAAATGGTACTATATTAGAAGAAGGCCGAAGAACCGCACGACCGACCGAATGAACGAAAAAAATAAAGAAACCGATGAAAAAAAGCAGACCAAAAAGAAGAAAACGAAAGAGATCCTAAGTAAAGCAGTAAAGAAAGAATCCAAATTTTATAATTGCTGTTTTGAAATTAGCGACGGGCTTTCGTGACGGAGAATGATGTTTCAAAACGATATCTGACACGCGCATGCTATATACAACACATGTCACAAATCAGCCAACATGTGCACAAACATGACCGTGCACAGGAAAACATTACCCCCCCCCACCTACACATAGACGCAAAATTTCTTCTAAATGTGTCCAGACTCTTCACCGATTGGCTGAAATGCACGCTGACAAAACGTATTCCATTAAGTTTCCCGAATATTCTGAAAGTCGCACAGAGCCTCATTCCCTTACCTTGAATGGTTTGACAAGATGGATGGAGATGCTGTGGAGGGGGTGAAGATATATTTTGTAGGATGAGGTGGGGGTGGAATTCGAATGAAATCAGAATCGGATTCCTCATGCCAATCCCAGAATTTGGGCTGATTCATTCACAAATCTCTCATGACAGGAATGTTACGGTGAGCGATAATTTTTATGTGAAGAAAATAGGAAAATTTGTCAAGGATCGGACGAGAAAAAGAAAGAAAGAAAGAAAGAAAGAAAGAAAGAAAGAAAGAGAGAGAGAAAATAGTAAAAGGCGAAAGAAATAAAAGAAAGAGGAAAAGAAAGAAAACGGTAAACGCGTAGAAAAAAGATAAAAGAAAAGAAATAATTGAATAGAAAAAGAAAGAAAAAAAGAAAGAAAAAAGAAAGAAAGTAAGAAACGATAAAAGCGAAGAAGAAAAACAGAAAATGAAAGAAGATAGAAAAAGGAAAGAAAGAAAGAAAAATGGTAAACAGATAGAAAATGTAAAGGATGAAAGAGGTAAAAGAAAGAAAGAAAGAAAAAAGAAAGAAAGAAAAAAAGATAGAACAAAGAAATAACGAAAATGGTAAAGAGCAAGAGAAATAAAAAAAAGAAAGTACGAAAGAGATCGAAAATGGTAAAAGACAAAAGAAATAAAAGAAAGGAAGAAAGAAAAAAGAAAGACAGAAAGAAAGAAAGAACGAAAATAGTAAAGAAAGAAAGAAAATTCAACCTACAAGGTCTGTCTGATTCAGTTTTATTGTATTTTTCTAATTAAAAAAAAATTACGCATGACGTCACCGTGGCCTATTTAAAACTTTCCGCGTTTTAATGTTGAATTAATGTCTAATGTTAATTATGTTTTATGAATATGTCCTGAAGATGGTCTACTAGACCGAAACGTCCGACGTTGACATTATATTAACATTAAAACAGCATAATCGCATATTAGGATTTTTGTTTGTTTTTTTTTTCCGTATATTTTTCTTCATACTATCGGATCTATATCCATATATTTGCTTACATACTAGGAAACATAACATTGGAAAAATACAATGAAAAATTAAACACACAGGACTTGTCCGTTGAACTTAAACAAAATCATACATATATATAAATTACAAGTAAATGAAGTTCAGTACCTCATTTGGATGGCCATTTCGTCCAGTACGGGCTTGTCAATAGCAAAGAGTTAGATAAAAAAATGAATCATAATGTTTTGTTTTTTTTAAATATTAGAAAAAATAGGAAGAAAGAGTAAGGAAAATCATAAATAAGGGAAATGTATTTAGAATAGGAAGAGAAAGAGATAGAAAGATAGATAGATAGAGAGAGAGAGAAAGAGAGAGAGAAGAATAAAATAGAAAAGGACAAAGGAATAAAGGTAATGGGTAGGAGGTAGAGAAGTCAGGAAGTTAAGATATTCAGATTCGTCTAGACATAAGTTGACCTTGAGCTATCTACAAGATGAGAAATTACATAAGAAAATACAATCTTTAAAATTAAGAAAAGGTTTTTTTAGATTGTATTAAGGAAATTTTAATATATTATTATTTAATATTTTAGAATAGAAATTATAATATTATAATAAACGCTAATTGAAAAGATTTCATTAAAAAGATTTAATTAAAAAGATCCTTATTGTACGGAACATATAATATTAATATAAAATAATAGATCATTTTTAAAAATATTATATATTTTTAATGAAGTATAAAGAAATAATATATAAAAATAATTAAATAAATAACAAAAAAACTAAACAGATAAGTAAGACCAAACCAGGACAATATAAGTGAATTATAAATAAGATTATATAAAATATAGATTAAATAATATATTAATTATATATTATGGATAAAAATGGAGATTAAAATTTAAAGAGTCCCTTTAGATTTTAGATTAAAATTAAAGATCCCTTTAAGGAGGAAAAATACACTATTACTACAGACATAAATGGAATTTAATAAACGATCAGGTAGTAATAAAAAGTTGATGAAAAAATAAAAATTAAAACTATCTTTTTCAGAAAACCTTTCTTAACTTTTTATTTTTTTATATATGGTGTAGATAAAATTAAAATGAATTGCTTTGTAATAAATACATTGAGCTCTTTTCAGTGGATCAGTTTTATTATTTTATATTACTAGAATTCACTTGGATTACTTCCCACCGATTTATATATATATATATATATCATGAGAATAGGTATATGCGCAGGTGGTATAAAAACTGTATTTTTCTGCGCAACAGGATGCAACGGTAGCCATTTGCAATATTAACATCATATAGAAGTGTTCCAGACTATAAATGGGTGTCAATATAATCGTGTAGTTATGGGTTACAAATGTGACTTGACTCCTTCTGAGAAAGATATCGTAACATCTGATCTTTCCAAAGGCAAATCTACATTAGAAATATCCAAAATAATACTATACTTCCCACGGATTTTTACATATATATATATATATATATATATATATATATATATATATATATATATATATATGTGTGTATTTAGGCAGCATTTTTTCATTCATACATGTTTCATTAAATAATATAGACAAGTGTTGTCCATTTATCTTATGTAATTTTTTTTCATAACGTCTGATAAGCTTAATAACATTATCATTAAACGAAGAAAGAAAATCACAATATTGATACATCTTTTTAAATCCAATCTAAGCTTTCGGCTTACATAAGCCATTAGGAAAGATGACAAATTCCAGTACAATATATTATGCAATACACGGACAAGAATGTGATGCTAGTCTGTTTCTGTTTACATGGATGATTTCCAAGCAACGATATACACGTGCATATAAGACGCTGAAAGCGAAAATCGCAACGCAGCTCATGACGTCACATCATTTTAACATTTTATTTTTCTCTTTTTCTCGAATTCACTCTCGCGTGGTCATGTGTGACGTGTATTGCATAATATATTGTATATGGATCAATATTGTGATTTTCATTCTTCGTTTAATGATAATGTTATCAAAAAATCAGACGTTATGAAAAGAATTTAGATAAGATAAATATATATATATATATATATATATATATATATATATATATATATATATACACGTTTCATTAAATAATATAGACAAGTGTCTATTATTATTTTCTTTTTTTATTCATATATAAATATATATATATATTCATATATATATATATATATGAATAAAAAGAGAAAATAATTTTCTTTAGCCATAGTATAGTTTTTTCCTGTTGTCACTTTTTATTCATTTTGTCTCTTCAACATATACACCCTATCTGAAAATATATATTTATTCAAACATCTCTTGTAGAATAATATGGGGATATTATGACTATTTTTATAATAATCCTTTCCAGTTGTCTTGATGTTCATTCATCAAAGGAGGAGGCGTAGTTTTTTTCCTACCCAAGTACTTTCGATCTCCCCAAGATCATCCTCAGGGGTGAATTTTTTAAGACAAACTTACTGTAACTGTTATCGTTGTGATAGTGATTTTTAAAACACACGCATGAACGCGCTTTGTTATAATTATTTCAAAATGTTAAATTTATCCGTTATCCGTGCAAGATTTTGCAAAACAAGCGTCTCAATATAAGGGAGCTGATCAGAAATTGGTAGAAATGGAAAATTGCATCAAATGTTTGTTTAATGCGCTTCAGCACGTTGCTGCTAAAGATGTAATAAATATATATTTAATTTCCTATACAAGTTATTGTTGTGGGTTCCGGGATGAAATCCGGTACCAATAAATAACAAACACCAAGAAGGAATATAGAAAAATAAATGTATTAATGTAATAATACAAACTGGTAAGGCAGGTTAGTAGTTCCAGGAATGCGGGTTAGTAGCAATATATATATATATATATAGTCTTTGGTATCGACGTATCACTGTATGACTTCTTACTGAGTCTACGCGCTTGCTCACTGTGACTTGCTCGTTACGTTCGTTCTCGTTCGTCGCTCTCGTTCGCTCTCATGGGTGATGGGTGTAGGCATCGCTCCACCTGGTTACTTCTACTATCTCTTATTACCATCTCCCACCAGCGCTTTCCAGTGGGCATGAGCAGTTCCTTCAACCTCCTTAATGTCTTGTCTGTGCCTTCAACTCTTCAGTGGATGCAGGGGAGCCACTCAACATTTATCTTTAGGGGTGGGGGGCAAGTTTGATAGAGGATCCCGGGCAGTAATTTGTGACATTTTTTATTGTAGCAACATTTGCTTTCATCTATCTACATTGATATGCGTTACAAATTAAACTAAGCGCAATTGAATATTAAAAAATGAAAAGTTGTCATGAATTCTGACGTCATTCTGGGGTCGTTTCTTTTTTTTTTTTACGCACAAATCCGTGAATTTGTTTTGCTTACTTATGATGCCACATAATTGTGTAAGTATAATTTTACTCGACTAACTTATTTGGTTATCGATAATGTATCTGGAAAGATACGGAAAACTAATTTCTGTTTTATATGCTAGAGTTTGCTGACAGATATTTTCCGGTAAGTTAGGAGTGTTCTATTTTGAAACGGTTTATTTTGCCCACATATCTATCTATCTATCTATCTATCTATCTATCTATCTATCTATCTATCTCAGTCTTCTCATATCTATCTATCTATCTATCTATCTATCTATCTATCCAAGTCTTGTCACATCTATCTATGTATTTTAGTCTACTCATATCTATCTATCTATCTATCTATTTCAGTCATCTCGTATCTATCTATCTATTTCAGTCTTCTCATATCTATCTATCTATCTAAGTCTTGTCACATCTATGTATTTTAGTCTTCTCATATCTATCTATCTATCTATCCATCTATCTATCTATCTCGGTCTTCTCACATCTATCTATATTAGTCTTCGCATATCTATCTATCTATCTATCTATCTATCTATCTATCTATCTATCCAAGTCTTGTCGCATCTATCTATGTATTTTAATCTATCTATCTATCTATCTATCTATCTATCTATCTATCTATCTATCTATCTCAGTCCTCTCATATCTATCTATCTATCTATCTATCTATTTCAGTCTTCTCATATCTATCTATCTATCTATCTATCTATCTATTTATCTATCTATTTTAGTCTGCGTTGAAAAAAAACTATATAAAATTAACTATTAACTATCCATAATTTTGAATGTGTTAAATTATTACTTTTTCATAAGAACAATCTCAAGTTGATATTCAAAATTGCCTCAACACATTCTTATAAAATGATCACTAATAAAATGTCCTTAATTTTATTAAGATACATTGTATTTATTTTCACTTTTGCTAGTTGAATTTTTCTCCTATTTTTCATATGATTATTATACCTAATCAGGTTAGAACACAATTTGTATTTCATATGAATACAATCTTATAAAAATTGAGTGTGGGGGGTGTATCATAGATTTGTGGGGAGGGAAACGTAACCCTTTCACCATCACTGTGTATACCCATGTTAAAAAGACAACTTTTTAACGTGTATTTTAAAGTTTATCGACGTCGGAATTTGATCTCTGTCGAGAAGCGAATTTTCTGTATTACGATTTTTGATAGTCCAGAACAGAACAGAGTGAGTAAGTAACATTACCTCTGTCCCATAATATGTATACGATTTGTATATAGATTTCACACAGTAAAAATATCAACAGTTTTGGGACATCACTAGTCAGAAATAATACCTCTGTCCCATAATATGGTAATTTTCTAAGCGTACCTTTGATACGGTACATGGCCAAAAGTATAGGCCACCCAGTGAGGATCAAACTCACGATTCAGTCGTAAATGTGGCGGGACAAGCTTGCTAATCATGTCGAAGTGTCCAAATGATTGTCTAAGCGTAGCTTAGATGTGGCACAAAGCCGAAAATATGACTGTCCTGGGTATGACGGTAAATTACATTCAAGAGCAAGGCTTCTGATCAGGAGGTTTTGAGGAATGTAGAAGTACCTCTTAATTGCTGGTATTCCCAGGTCCACCCTGACCCGGGGTGGTAGCACTTGTTAGGGCCCCAGTTATGAGCAAATAGTTGACACCCAAACTGGCGTGAAAACACTATCAAAGTGTAAAAATAAGTTTTAATACTTACCAGAAATATTTTGTAAAAAAAAAATATTACTAGCAATACACTTTTAGAAAAAAAAAGATATTACCAACTATTAGTTTATTTTGAAAGAAAATATTACCAGCAATAAAAAATTTGTCGGCATTAAATAACCCATTGAGGTTGATATACCGTAAGACAAAACAAATTTGGAGCACACAGTGAGAATCGAACTCAATATCCAATCGTAACTGACATAGCGAGACAAGCTTGTTAACCATTACGCCACGTCGAAGTGCCACCACTGTCGCGGTGTCCAAATGATTTCCAAAGCGTAGCTTAGATGTGGCACAAGGCCGAAAATATGGAGCACGCAGTGAGAATCGATTTCTATATTCAGTCGACCTAGAGAGACAATCTTGCTAAACATTACGCCACGTCGAAGTGCCCCCACTGTCCCATAATATGTATGCCATTTGTATGTAGATTTTATACTGTAAAAGTATCAATTCTTTTGGGACATGGCCATTTCCATAGGCATTTCATACACTAAATGGATGGGGCATAGTAAGAATATCAAATGAAATGAAAAATGATGGACACGGATGATGGGAAAAAACAAAACAAAAAAAACAATTCAAAAGACTGAAAAAAAATAATTTGAAAAAATGAGGCGAATAGGGTGGGGGATAAATAGAATTAATTTTATTTTTTGCATGATTTCATCCCAAGTAAAGGGATCATTACATTGAGACACAAGGGATAACTTGGAGCGAAAGATGACTTTAAAAGGATCCGGAAATCCAAACTTAAACAGGAAACAATGGATAAACCTTTACACCTGTTTAAAAGATCGCTGAAGTGTGTGAACCGGACAATAAGCGAACCTATCTACTCCTATCAAGTAAAAAATAAATAAAAAATAACTAGTAAATTAACTCTTTCAGCTCTGACCATTGCTTTACCCGTGGTAGAGAAAAATGACGTAATGCTCATCCACTAGTTCAACAGTGGTAGAGAAAAAGGACGTGATGCTCAGCCACTAGTTCAACAGTGGTAGAGAAAAATGACGTGATGCTCAGCCACTAGTTCAACAGTGGTAGAGAAAAATGACGTAATGCTCAGCCACTGGTTCAACAGTGGTAGAGAAAAATGACGTAATGCTCATCCACTGGTTCAACAGTGGTAGAGAAAAAGGACGTGATGCTCAGCCACTAGTTCAACAGTGGTAGAGAAAAAGGACGTGATGCTCAGCCACTAGTTCAACAGTGGTAGAGAAAAAGGACGTGATGCTCAGCCACTAGTTCAACAGTGGTAGAGAAAAGGACGTGATGCTCAGCCACTAGTTCAACAGTGGTAGAGAAAAAGGACGTGATGCTCAGCCACTAGTTCAACAGTGGTAGAGAAAAAGGACGTGATGCTCAGCCACTAGTTCAACAGTGGTAGAGAAAAAGGACGTGATGCTCAGCCACTAGTTCAACAGTGGTAGAGAAAAAGGACGTGATGCTCAGCCACTAGTTCAACAGTGGTTCAGAAAAAAGGACGTGATGCTCAGCCACTAGTTCAACAGTGGTTCAGAAAAAGGACGTGATGCTCAGCCACTAGTTCAACAGTGGTAGAGAAAAAGGACGTGATGCTCAGCCACTAGTTCAACAGTGGTAGAGAAAAATGACGTAATGCTCAGCCACTGGTTCAACAGTGGTAGAGAAAAATGACGTAATGCTCATCCACTGGTTCAACAGTGGTAGAGAAAAAGGACGTGATGCTCAGCCACTAGTTCAACAGTGGTAGAGAAAAAGGACGTGATGCTCAGCCACTAGTTAAACAGTGGTAGAGAAAAAAAGACGTGATGCTCAGCCACTAGTTCAATAGTGGTAGAAAAATGACGTGATGCTCAGCCACTAGTTCAACAGTGGTAGAGAAAAAAGACGTGATGCTCAGCCACTAGTTCAACAGTGGTAGAGAAAAAGGACGTGATGCTCAGCCACTAGTTCAACAGTGGTAGAAAAAGGACGTGATGCTCAGCCACTGGTTCGACAGTGGTAGAAAAATGACGTGATGCTCAGCCACTGGTTCAACAGCGGTAGAGAAAAAACGTGACGTAATGCTCATCCACTGGTTCTCAACAGTTCAACAGTGTAGAGAAAAGGACGTGATGCTCAGCCACTAGTTCAACAGTGGTAGAGAAAAAGGACGTGATGCTCAGCCACTAGTTCAACAGTGGTAGAGAAAAGGACGTGATGCTCAGCCACTAGTTCAACAGTGGTAGAGAAAAGGACGTGATGCTCAGCCACTGGTTCAACAGTGGTAGAGAAAAAATGACGTAATGCTCATCCACTGGTTCAACAGTGGTAGAAAAAGGACATGATGCTCAGCCACTAGTTCAACAGTGGTAGAGAAAAATGACGTAATGCTCATCCACTGGTTCAACAGTGGTAGAGAAAAATGACGTAATGCTCATCCACTGGTTCAACAGTGGTAGAGAAAAGGACGATGCTCAGCCACTAGTTCAACAGTGGTAGAGAAAAATGACGTAATGCTCATCCACTGGTTCAACAGTGGTAGAGAAAAATGACGTAATGCTCATCCACTGGTTCAACAGTGGTAGAGAAAAAAGGACGTGATGCTCATCCACTAGTTCAATAGTGGTAGAGAAAAGGACGTGATGCTCATCCACTAGTTCAACAGTGGTAGAGAAAAATCCACTAGTGACGTGATGCTCAGCCACTGGTTCAACAGTGGTAGAGAAAAAGGACGTAATGCTCAGCCACTGGTTCAACAGTGGTAGAGAAAAAGGACGTAATGCTCAGCCACTGGTTCAACAGTGGTAGAGAAAAATGACGTGATACTCAGCCACTAGTTCAACAGTGGTAGAGAAAAAGGACGTAATGCTCAGCCACTGGTTCAATAGTGGTAGAGAAAAATGACGTGATGCTCAACCACTGGTTCAACAGTAGTAGAGAAAAAGGACGTAATGCTCAGCCACTGGTTCAACAGTAGTAGAGAAAAATGACGTAATGCTCAGCCACTGGTTCAAAAGTGGAAGAGAAAAATGACTTATTGACCGGCCACCGATTGAACTATTTTTATATCTACAAACATGATATACCAATTATTTGCGAATTTTCAATCAGGAGCTCAGGCAGCAGGGTGAAAATTGTTCAGGAACGCAGGTTAAGCAGATACGCCAGAACTGAAGTAAACTTTATAACGAAACCCAATCTTAAACAGGAGACAAGGGATTAACTTCTACTCCTGTTCAAAGGCCGGGGAGGAGTTTGAACTTGACGTTAGGCGAACCGATCTATTCCTATCGAGGAAAAATAAACAAAATGAATTAAAAAAAAAGAAATTAAATTTAAATAAGAAATAATAAATAAAATTTCGAAGTTTAAGCGCAGATTTTAGAAGTACAGTGGGCTATGATAATTTTTGGCCACCCTTAATTGCAGCAATTTTGGCTTGTGTAATAACGTATCTTCTTTTTTTTTCGGACAATACCGTGTTAGTATCAAGCTACTCTAATCTATGAACGATAGTTGACTTATAACTTGCAATGAAAGTTCGCGGAAGTAAAGAAATTGGTGAATTTCAAAGAGGGCAAATAATAGGATGGCATCAGTGTGGCAAGTCAAATAGAGAAATTGTTAGGTTTTTCCAAGTTAATCATCAAACGGCTAAAAATATTGTCAAGAAATCTAATGAAGAAGGTCATTTTCATGTGGAACAACGCTCAGGAAGACCAAGCATCGTGTCAGAGTGAACGAAAAGGGTGCTGAAGATGGAAGACATCAGAAACCGTCGTCAGAGCGTCAAAGATGCCGTTAACAGCATGAAAATGTCGCCATATGCAGTGAGAAAGACTATGAAAGAGCTAGGCTATTAAAGAAGAGTTGCAAGAAAGAATCCTTTGATTTCAGAGATTAACAGGAACTTTCGTATGGGCCAGGCAAGAGCAAAGATTATGAATTTTGGCAGTCTGTACTTTGGTCAAATTAAAGTAAATTCTGCCAATATTCGAGACAGGTATATGTTTGGAGAAATCAGAATGAGACTTAGAAAACTGAATGACTGCGGAAGATTAGAGTAATGGTGTGGAGCGCTATGGGGTCTGGAGGGAAATCTGAGTTGATTCTTGTTGACTAGCGGTTGAATGGTCCAAAATACTGTCAAATATTAGAGAAAGGACTACTCCCACTATGTCCACCTTTTTCAAGAAAATAGAGCACCATGTCATACGAGCAAAGTAGCAAAGGCCTGGAAGGAATGGCATGGAATCAAGTCACTGCCATGGGTAGCCCAAAATCATGACATGAATCCAATAAAGCACGTTTGAGAGTACCTTGACCGAAAAATTTGAGAGCGTGCAACCCAAATCGCGTCAGTGGCAACCTTGAAAGAAACATTGCTAAAGGAGTGGCAAAATATGGATTAGGCGATTGCTGATAACTTGATCAAATCCATGAAAAATCGAATACAAGCAGTGAAACTAGCAAATGGAGGACCTACTCTATACTAGTTCCAAATACTGTTTATTTATGTTGAGTAGGGATTTACGTAATTAAATTTTGAAATTGGATGTAGTTTATTTCTCCTGGCTAAAAACTTTTCTTAGGCCACTGTATACTGTTAAATTAAAAGTCCGTACAAAAAAAATTAACTGATGAAAAAAAGTAATAAAAAACGAGACGATAAAAAAAGAGAAAGCGATCGTGGTAAAAAGAAGCGAAAAAAAAAAGGTGATTTGTTGAATGAAGTGAAATTGGAAGAAGTAAGTCAATCCGTTTACATCGCTGGAGATTTTTATAATTCCTTGTCTGGCATTTAGCGCGAAATGTGCGCGTATTTTGTGATCATCTCCCGCAAACAACATAATGAACGCAATGGACAATCATTGGTTTTAACGACGCGAAGATACCAGTCGGGGGTTTTGAACGCAATTGCGTTAACCGCATTGTTACTTAACTCAGATTCTGCAATAACATCCTGACCTACCTGATTCAGAAGTGCTAGACTGACTACCTGCAGAAAAAGGCGCTTATCTTGCTGTTCCTTACAACACAAATGTCAAATGTCTGGAAATGTGTCTAAGAAGATTAAACTACGCCATTTCTGCTATACCTTGAAAATCTACATTCGATTTCCGGTCCTTATATATTTACAAACAATAACGGTATTTAATATACCACCCACGAGGAATATATATGGCACAAGGCCGAGTTTAAAGTGGGTTTTTCCGAGCCCGTAGGCTCGGCCAAAAATATACCCTTTGAACCCGCCTAGACGAGTTCAGCCCTGTCTATCTCCCCGGACGAAACCTTGCCCTTCGGCAAAGCTTCGTCCGGGTTCCTCTCTGCCAAAGCAGAGAGTTCGACAGACGTCGAGACTGTATCTCAACGGAAATCAAACAATAACAAACGCAGATTCACCCAGATGCTCGACAGAAGCGCAGATGTGCGACATGGTGATAGAAATCGGGATCATAAGATTGTGTTGCGTCAATCCTTTAATGCGCATTTTACATTAATAATCAGCATTTTACAAAAAAAAAAAGAAAAAAAAAGAAAGAAAAGAAATCTCACCGGTGACAGTGGGGAAAAAGAAGTCTTCATCGTGGTTTGAAACCATATTTTCCTAATTGGAGACGATATTTTTTATATCTAAAGTCCCTGCAATACAAGGCTCGAGAGACCCTCAAAGTAGAGTTTTAAAATTAAAATGAAGAATGAATGATATGAATGTGGATGGATGAATGAGGAATACAAGGCTCGAGGGACCCTCAAAGTAGAGTGTTACTGTTAAAATGATTATGATGGATGAATGAGGTGTATGCTCTTAATTTAAGAGGGGCTGACGTGAATATTATACTCAAGTCCACCCAATACAAGGCTCGAGAGATCCTCAAAGTAGAGCGTAACAATTAAAATTGTTATGGTGAATGAATGAGAGGTATGATATGAATGTAAGACGTGTTGGTAGGAACGTTATGAGGCTAAGGAATATCGATAACAATTGATCCTTGATTTGAAGACGTTATGGTTTTAATGTTCAGGGAAACACCTACGCTTGCATCCGTTCCACAAACAAGCAGCTTTTGGGGTGAGGAAGCTGTCTGGGTATAAATTTATCATTAAATTTGAAATACAGGGGAAATGAGGCTGCCTCAACTCCGTAGACGTAGCATCTGGATTCCTAAATGTCCGGAATAATGGAACAAAAGCATAGAACTCATCTGATGATTTATTATGTGTTATTGTCCAAGTTCCTTGTACCACGGTGATGGTCCAAGGTTAGAACCAATGAAAGAATAACACGAACACAGGTATGGAATGCAAAGATATATTACAATAGAAATATAATACAAAGAAGTAGAAGTATTAGTAATGACTATCAGATTTGGTTAGAGTGAACTATGTTGTCTCGACAAGTATCACTATTCCAATGTCCTTACAATATGCTCTCAATTATCTCTCCTCGTCTTACAATATCCTCATACCTCTTGAGAGGCGCAGTATTTATAATGTCAGGAATAGTCCATTATTATTATGGGTAAGTTCCCATAACGCTATCAAAGTAATGGTAGTATGTACGAACAGTGAGAAATTTCTACGAAGAAACAAGGAACTGTAACATGCTTACTATCAGAAAAAGAGAGTTGAAATTTTTGGGAAGCATAATGGCGAAAGAAGGCTGGAGAATATAACACTGACAGGGCCTATTGGACACAAGAGGAGTTGCAAGTAACTTAAGAAGTCTTATTATAATTATGCTTGTCTCCTTCTTAGTTACACCTTGGTACACCAATGCCTCATAAAAGAAAAGTAAGAAAGATAGAAGTGTTTGACGTCTCTAGCCCGTACCTCATAAATAATGGACTATTTCGTTTTGATCGCATGGAAAGACAGAAAAGACATATCAAAAACGCTACTAGATTTCAGTAAGTGTTGGGGCGCACCCACCTTCTTAGGAGAATGGACTGATCTCCCTACGATATAGGTCAGTGCTAGAGAGATCGGGGACGTTCTGTGGAGATCACGAGACCATTGCACTTCCGTCTCTCGACCGGAAGATACCGTTGGACTGTAGACTCTTGCTAATTGTTATTACTAACTTGCGTCCGTTATTACTAATCACTCTGTTGTTAAATACCTCTTCAAATATACCAGTATTTTTCCCTTCATCTGTGTTTGTCTTTATTCGAATACACACACGCGGGAACATTCCCAACATCTCAACAGCAAGAAAATGAAAAAAGAAAGAAAGAAAGAAAGAAAGAAAGAAAGAAAGAAAGAAAAAAAGAAAGAAAGAAAAAAAAAGAAAGAAAGAAAAAAAAGAAAGAAAGAAAAAAAAGAAAGAAAGAAAAAAAAGAAAGAAAGAAAAAAAAAAAGAAAAAAAAAAAAAGAAAGAAAAAAGAAAGAAAGAAAGAAAGAAAAAAAGAAAAAAGAAAAAAGAAAGAAAGAAAGAGAAGATAGAAATGTTTATCGTCTGTTTCAGTGAAATCTTTTCATTTTTACCTCATAGTTCTTTAAGTAACGATCAGCATTCATATTTTTTTATTGTTAATACAATATTTTGTTAAATTTGGTAAGCTCAAATATTTAATGAGGGGATAAGGGGAATTTCTACGAATATTTTATTGTCGTAGAACTCATCAGTTTATTCACTAACTGAAAAATTCATATTCATTAGAATATTTATATAGAAAAACCGTGAAATTTTCACGGGTATTTCTACTATAAGTAAATGCCCTTAGAAACAAATAAAAGACTACTGAACAGTTACATAACATCTATTTCCCTATATTGTACCAATATGTAGAAAACGTTTTTTTATTTTTATTTTTTATATAGATGTTTATCTGTACGTCCACCTCCAAGCCAGAGCATAGGCGAAAATTAGGCAACAGGAGCTGGTTTCTCTTGGAAAAGAGGGAGCATGTTCAAATCCTGCTGTAGGTACATTCTCTTTAATAAGTTTCCTCAATTGTGAAGGCAGGTGGACGAAATAAATACTTTTTGAATACTTATTGAATACTTTTTGAATACTTTTTGAATTTTCTACACAAATAGGATATCCACTAAGAATAACGTAGAAAGTAATAATTTTTTTTTATCCGTGACCCATAGGCACGATGTGTACGGACGCCACAGTAGAAGTGTTGTTTCTTGGGCAAGATGGCCTGACGAAGCCCACCCCTCTCCAGCCCGATTTTGAATTCAGAGTTTTTCCTTCTCCTAGACCGGTTGCCACACAAGTTTATAGAACTCAGTCTGTCCTGCTATTGTAAGTGAATGCAATGGATCCGACTGGAATTCGAACTCGGCTCTCCGATTCCTCAGTCCGAGCCGCTATTTATTACTCCTTCGTGTCTCCTCAATAAACTAAAATAAATAAATATGTTGGATGAAAAAATAAAATCTATTAATTTTTCAGAAAGTGCCTTGTTTACGTTTCGAATACTAAATCAAGCAGATATGCCTTTCGTGAAAATATACAAGTGTGAGTGTGGTTTAAAGACAAATAAAACATTGCTTGATTAAGAAGCTCTTCGTAGCTTAGATGTTAAAGCACGTCTGATCAAACTGTGGTTTTTCCTGCAAAACAAAACAAACGTTTATGCATGTAGTGGGTGTATTTTCATGTCTGCATAGATTTGACAGTTAAAATTAATTTGTCGTGTCAAAAGTCAATCATACCATTTTAAAATCGTTTTTTTTTTTTTTTGGTTATTTTATATAATTAATTAGCAGAACATGATAAATGTTTGTCTCAATATAACGAATGAAAAGTAATGTGCGTCGGGATGGCGCACCTCGTAGACGAAGCCAGTCATTCTTACCAAGATTTGCATGATGTAGTAATAACAAACCAATTACAGTCTTATAACAATATTTGCATTGGGCATAAACGAGTTAATTATATAAGCTTTTCCCAGCTGTGATAATGGCTAACACGGAGTGACACTGACAGAAAGGAAATATGCCTCTTCTATTTTTTTTTACACAATTTATGATCTTTACATATAATGAAATAAATACCGTATATTTCCGTGTTTGAGGCGGACTTTAAATCTTAAAAATTACCCCCAGCCAAAGAGGTAGGCGTCTAATACAACAGTTGCAAAAAGCTAACCTTAAATCCTGTGGTGTATCGGCACTTGTAAGTATGCTAGTATGCTTGCGCTATGGATCGCAGTAGGCTTACAAATGGTAACTATCGATATAAATATTTTCTAATTGAAACAATTCACATGATAATGTTGTACTACAATTATAAATGTAATAAAACTACTTTTACTTCTTGATTTCATTTTAAAATGCAATATTCAAGAGACGCAACAATTTTCAAAAGTTCTGCTGAGCAAACCTGACAATTAACAAATAACGTAAACAGATTTTTCGTTCTTCATTTGGAGAGCTATGTCTGCATTCACACCAATCATTATTTCTCATAGTTGTATTAAATAACAACATTTTCGATAACATAAAATCCATATTATTTTTCTGCTGTTAAATAAAAACAACATGTAGTATGACATTCTCTGACGAACGCAGATAGCATAAGCACGCATACACGCATATATTAAGATTAATTTCCGCCTAGCAACAGAATAGGGGTCACGTGGAAGTCATAAGACATTTTGAGGAAAGCTAGTCAAAAGGTTGACTGACCCAATTACCCGTAGCGACAAATGTCTATACAGAAGCTAGACAGGGGACTGATGTAAGCTGGAATTCGCGCCAAAACTTAAGACACGTGATAGTCAGAGATTCACTTGGGAATCAGTTGCTATCTTGACTTTGAAGGGGAAAGACCGGAAGTCGAAGCGCTGATAGTTTATGAACGGAAAGATAAGACTCATTTGATAGTGATGGAACTTATCTAGTTCAACCCAGGCAACTTCGGACAAGAAATATAAGAAGAACTATTTCTGTTCCATAACCCTAAATTGAAGACGCAGAGAAATTTATACGCTGAGGATTCAGCCTGCGTTTAAAGAAAAAGGAAAACCAGGGAGGAAAGTGTATACCTCTGTTACAAGTTGAATTGTGTAAAGAAAAGAAAAAGGATATCCAGAGAGGAAGAAAGTGTATACCTCTGTTATAAGCTGAATTGTGTAAAGAAGAAGAAGGAAAGAAAGAAGAAAACCAAAGAGAGGAAGAAAGTGTACATCCCTGTTGCAGTGAGTCGGGTTTGGAAACCGAACTGTCTACAGAAGAAAAAGGAAGGAAAGAAAAAGACAAAACAAAGAGAAGAAGAAAGGGTATACCTTTATTACAGCCGGACAGTGTGTGAAATTGTGTTTGTGTCAAGAAAAGAAAAGAAAGGACAATGATAAAAAAAGAGAACTGAATATAAAAGATAAGTAATCATATTTTGGACCCGTAATAGAAAGATATACATACATCCATGAATATTATGTTCTTGCAAACACCTTTCCACATGTCAAAATAATAATTGTAACTCCTATCCCATCTCTTTTGTGTATGCGTTGGCTTCTGCATTTATAGTAATTCATACTTATATTTTTGTATGTTCGGGTTCAGTTGAATCCATTTGGAGTTAGGCGAATTTTGATATCCCAACGTAAGTCTTGAGATCTGGTCGTCGGATGTTTTAACTCATACTTATATTTTCTTTTGTTTTAATATTTGTATATCTGTACATATTAAAGTTCTTGTATCGGACCTGGGAAAAAGATTACTGTTCGATTATCCTAATCAAACAGTGTTCTTAAAAATATTTTTTGTTTACCAATTGTCCATTGTCACGATCTGAGAGAGATCTCCGCAGATGTGAGAATGTATATATCTTCTGGTCGGCGTGTGTTCGCCTTATAAACCCATTCGTCGACTAGAGCATATGACGATTCAAATTTTATTTTTCAATAATATACAGTATACGATATTTTTTCTTTAAATTTTTCGGTCGTCTTATACGGTGAATATCAGATAAAACCGCGAAAATTTACCTAGATTTTGGGTCTCGTCTTATCTATGGTCGCCTTATACATCGAAATATACCATACAATTTATGCCACTTGAGGAGACAATCAGTTCAATTAGAGAAGCAAGACGACACAAAAGTAATGGATGGGCAGTATGTAAAGGTGGTAACAGGTGGCGCCACCAATCTTGACGTCACCAAAATGTCCAAATCTACGTCTGCTGTGTTTTAATATCTGTTTGTACGAAGGCTGGCTAGGCCGCTCTTACTTACCTGGCACAGAAGATCGCTTTCGCCTGGAATTGGAGTAAACTGCTTCCCCATTTTAGATGGGAGAAGGACCCCGGTTCCAGGGATTCCAACTATGACGCAGCATCTTCTTCATTGAACAAAGAGAAGTGGAGTCGGTGTTATGTCGACGCCAGCGTGACAGTGGTCGCGGGAACTGGGCAATTTTTGCCCTTGTCCCTATATGCATACATAGATGTATGGCGCTCCCCATGTCAAAAGCGAACTTGTGTCCCATCCTGCCTTAGTAAGGAGGCCGGGTAAATATACCTAGCGCGGTTGTTCTTGATGTGAATGGCCGGTGTTCGAACCGGGTGTGATAATGCGTGCTAGAGGGATTGAGGATTCTATTCCTGATATTTAGGGGATATTTGGCAGGACCTGGTTTTATGGTGTCAGGCCTGTACTAGGAATAACAAATGGGAGTCATTGCTGTCCGCTGGGGTCAGCGCAAGTAGTCGACAATGAGCGCTTTCTGATCGTGGCGAGAGGCGAAAATATAGAATTGTAAGCGAAGACAAAGCTGGTTCAAATCACCACAATCTTCAATAAAGGATGTAACAAATGCAGGTGATTACAACGTTCTTTAATTTCCATGTTATAAGACATAACAGAAAAGAAAAGACAGACACCTACCTACTCCCCAGCTCAAAATATAAAGTTCCCACTGACTCTAGAAATTAAAGTAAGTCAGCGAAATTACTCAAACAAACCAAACAAGACACAAGGACTCAGAACCATTAAACTGAGTTAACCGCTAACTGATCTTCAAACGACAGGTACTAACACGAGTAACCGTGTTGAAGGCTAACACAGAAAAAACTGTACGGGACAATGTAGTAAAGAATAGCGGGAAGAAAGGACTAACTCAATTAGAAAACCGAATATAAGATCCTTAGCAAGAGAACAGTCCAAGACGTATTGGTTAATGCCGTGGAGAACGCAAGGACACATGGCACAGTGGATAAAAGCGTTAGTTAGATCCAGGGACAGAACCCAAAAAGTATGAGTTCAATACCTGGTTAAGGCGATGGAGAACTTGGAGAGGGAATTAACAGGAGATAACTGATAACTGACATCCATTAAACATGGCACGTTGAACTAGAACAGTTTACCCCAGCGAGTGAAATAAAGGGTTCAGTTCGACATTCCAACCACCTGAAAAAGGCCGGAGTGTACAACCGCCGAAACGTTGCGATAAATATGGTAACAAAGATGAGGATACTAGTCCGAATAATGTAAATAATAAACCCGGCCCCGTGTATGCGAAGTCTAGGGGAAATTTTAACCAAGACTACGGGCTCGGATTGGTCCCACATGAAAAACGGCCTTGTGCCACATCCTTCCATGTGGGGAGGCAATGTAAATAATCTCATGGTCTGAGTATGTTATGCCAAAACGGCAAGTTAGCCGGCAAGAGAATCAAAGGTCGACAGTCAAAACGCTGTCAACTTAGGTAACTCCATGAGATCGATAAAAGATAGCATAGCATGATGAAAAAGACGCCAAACTTGATGAAAACAAAATTTTATTGTCTAAATGTTTATATTATTATTAAGAGGAAAGACCAAAGATTTTTTAAAAATTATTTTTAAAAATGTTTCCTTCTTTTTAGAACATTCTAAATTTTGATTAAAAAAAAAACTTTGTTTCTCTTTGCATCACCGGAACAAGTAAAATAGCATACAATTTTTAGCATTTTTTTTTTTTTTTTGTATGACAGACATTAATTTGGAAAATCTTGCAAAAATAAAAATAATTGTCGGATGTTAATGAAACTTTCAGAAACTATTGACAGATGATGGAAATTATTATAAATATGTTTTTTTTTTTTTTGTAAAGTCGTGGCAGAAATAAATCAGCGAAGTTACTCTAACAATCTAAACAAGACACCAGGACTCAGAATTATTAAACTGAGTTAACTGCTGAGTGATCTTCAAATGACAGGTACGAACACGAGTAACCGTGTTGAAGACTAACAGAGAAAAAAAAAACTGTACGTGACAATGTAGTAACGGAGAGCGGGAAGAAAGAAACTAACTCAATTAGAAAACCGAATATAAGATCCTTAGCAAGAGAACAGTTCAAGACGCGATCTAGAAATTAAAGTAACCGTGTTGATATCAGAAACAGAAAGAAAACTGAAGAGATTCTGAGACAATTTAGTAAAGGAGAGCAGGAAGAAAGGACTAAACACCAATTTTTTAAAATCGTGTTCACCCCAGTAAAGCCAATAAAACACACGGGGTTACTGGGTGTGGCAGAATTAGAAAACAGAAACATTACTAAGGAGCGAGAAGAAAAGAAGAGTAACCAGGAAGACAGTAGATATCGATTGACATTCCATTTAAATTTTTGAAAGCATGAAGCCGGAAGAGAGTTGGACAAGCGAGAAGTGCGAGTAGAGAAACTGTTGGTATAGAGCTTAAGATTAAATCTAGCCAACTTAACTGTATAAAACAGAATGTAATGTCCTGAGCAAGAAAACATTCCATGATACGAACAAAGATTTGCAGATGTGAAAATAAAACCAATATTGGATTTGTTTTAACAGATGGCAAAAAATGTGACATAGAAATTGGGAGGTTCATTGGAATAGAAAAATATACCGATAGATTAGTATTCGGGTAACACGAATTGGGTTTGCTATGCTACTACATATTACAACACAGATAATAAAAATTATTAAACCTATTTTGATAGGGACCAGTATTCTTGTTTCCATTTTAAAAGACTGATCGAGTTGAAAATAACTGTTATATGTCGTCTGTATTTGGCTGAATAGCAACCGTCTTCAAGTTACGGAGTTTGTATATTTCAGTTACACGTTATCATCAAACATCAATAGACTTGTTGCTGTGCACCATCGCATCGCTCTTGGTTGAGTAGCTTTCAACAGGCACAAAGAAATACTAACATTAAAGTGAGTTTCTCATCATTTGAAGGCTAAAATCTTTGACGCTTAAATCCTAGCAGTTGTGTTATATTGTCTCGATTGCGTTAATTGGACAACAAAGTCCCTTCAAAAGATAGTCACATTCCAGAACCACACCACGGGACTTAAGACTAACAAGCGCCTCAGCTACCACATCTCTATCAATGAGCTACTCAGCATTACGAAGCTTAAGCCAATCACATCAGTTATCAAGTCAAGAGTACTTGAACTGTATTGTCATATCAAAAGATCAACACGTGTTCGGACTGGCTTGTCAAACTCTCTGCCTTTGGGCAGAGAGGAGCTCAGACGAGGCTATACCGGAGGGCAGAGTCACGTCTGGGGAGGTAAAAAAATCCGGCCCCCAGTATCTGTCTATATTTCCAAGACGAGGTACTATGTACACTATTTACATTTTTCGGACTTTTTAGCAGATGGAATCGCTAAAAAGTAACATAGCATGATGAAAAAGACGCCAAACTTGAGGAAAACAAAATTTCATCGTTTAAATGTTTAAGTTATTATTAAGAGGAAAGACCAAAGATTTTTTTAAATTATTTTTTAAAATTTTTCCTTCTTTTCAGAACAGTCTAAATTTTGATTTAAAAAAAAAAAAATTGTTTCTCTTTGCATCACCGGAACAAGTAAAATAACACACAATTTTTAGCACTATTTTTTTTCGTATGACAGGCATTAATTGGAAAATGTTGCAAAAATAAAAATAATTGTCTGATGTTAATGAAACTTTCAGAAACTATTGACAGATGATGGAAATTATTATAAATATGATTTTTATTAAAGTCATGGCAGAAATATTTTTTATATTTATTACCACACCTCATAACTAATTTTACGCAAACTCTAGAAATTCGATCGAATACAGTTTAGTGATTACAATAGTTAAAAGCACAAGGCTTTGAGGAATGCAAATCATGTTTTTTTTTTTAAATTGGACCCCCCCCCAATAACTGAAAATCAGCTCTGAATTGTAACATACAAAACGCAATAAAACAAAGATATAATTTAATTTCAAATGCTTTTATTTGATTTTTTATGAGTATGGACAATATTTTCTGAAAGCAAAAAAAAAAAAATTTCAATGTAAAATGAATTTTTAATGCAATTATTTTTTATTTCTTTAATTATAATAGATTCTTACATTTTTGTTGTTAAAATATTATAAAATTAGTTAAAAGCCGCATCCAGTTTCATAAATATCCTTATGAGATAGATATTTTTTTAGTACGTTGTAAAGTGTATCGTTTTGACTAATCGGAGGACCCGCAGTAATTAAGAAATGTTTTTGTCTTTATAATGGGGCTGTAATTATAAAGTACGGAAGACTAACCAGAATACAATTAAGTTGCGTTGTTTGAGTTAAACATTGTTCTCCGCTGTTAAGGCCATCACTTTTGCGAAACATGTGTGGAGAAGTTAATTTGATTTTTCAATTTCAACTGAGAAGGGTACCTACAAGTATCAGTATCATCTTATGAAATTTATATGATCTTATTTTTATATTAATCTTAATTATGACATTTTTCCATAAATGAAATATCAAAATTAATAATAAAATGAATGAAAATACAAATAACACAGTAAAATGTAATAAATGTACATAGAACTATAGTATTTTATGTAAACTTCTGATAAAATTTCATAAGAAAGTTACCTATAAATTAATTAGATACATTTCTTATGAAATTTAATCCCACTCACAACAGTCTTATTTTAATTTCTTTATAATATATTTTTCCATAAAACATCGTAAACGTAAAGGTGGAAGCTAAGTACAAAAAAAAAATAAAAAAAATAGAGCGCTGAAAGTTTTCCTTAAAAATAACAAGGTAAATAATTTGTCCACTTAAATCTAAATAATTTCACTTCTCACCTTCCATAGAATAAATTATCCTCACGTAATCCGTCAATACGTCATTCATCACCTGTCAAGTGACGCGAAATGTTATGACCTGCTTTGTTTAATTTTCAAACTACACTTTTTCGGCGCAGAAACTAAATAATGCTGGTTTCAAAATATTTTAAATAAACATTATCATTTCCGATTTTCTTAAAATAAATTTTGAAAAAATTATAATTGATTTTCAAAAGAATTTCAAACAGAGATTTTCATTTTTTTTTTATAAAATGGAAAAAATGTTTGATATGATTGATTATCTGTCAATTTTGCTGACTCAAAAAAAAAACAAGATTTTTAACGAAAATTTCGGACTTGCTAGGAACAATGTAAAAAAAATACTCCCAAAATACTTCGATCTTTTCTCTTAATAATAACATAAACATTTTGACGATAAAATTTTGTTTCCGTCAAGTTTGGCGTCTTTTTCATCATGCTATGCTCTTTTTTAGCGATATCATGGAGGTACCTATGTCAACTTATGGACTGGACCTTTACTCTTAAAACTCTACTGTTGGTGATCCAACTCTGTGGAGAAAAATATCTCATGTTGATACGCAGTTTGTAACAAGCGGAGTCAGCGACTGATGATAATTTACATGTCCTGACTCCTCTTCTTAGTGTTACCTTACTTCTACCACTCATTCGCCTACTGTTCTCTTCCCTACCGGCACTTATGGAGTAGCCATTTTTATAAATCAT